ATCAATGATTGGTTTTTTTAATTCGTACGAAACATCTGAATATTAAGGAATTCATCAAAATAAGATGATGTTTTATTTTCTTAAGGATTGAAGAATGTTATTTTAAGTCATAGGCATTCATAAAATCAAAACGATTGAAAACTAAAAATACGCGTGATCCCATGTTTATTTTTAATTTTCAAAAAAAAAAATGCAGAAAGTATTAAATATGATAATAATTGTTCTTTTTTTTTACGTGTTATGAATATTCCTGAATAAAAAAAAATTTTCTCTGATGATATATCAAGATTCAGAACAGCTATAAATTTAAATAAAAAAAAAAAAAAAAAAAGAAATATGCAAAAAATTTTAGTAAACATCATATTAATTCATGAAAAAAAATCCATCATGATATTATTTTGTTTTAAACTGTTTTAGTTTATGTGTCGTTTATGGTTTTCATGTGATGTTCTATTTTCAACCGCATCCATAATACATTTAGCCTGTATATCACTTGATCGTTATTTATCTATAGTACGTCCGTTTGAATATGAAAATACATCAGCAGAACGACGGCGTTATATAATGATATTTTTTTGTTGGTTTGTATCAGCTCTACTTTCCTTTATACCAATATTTACTGGTTTATATACAACACGTGAACAACGACAAAAAATTGATTGTTTAAATCATGTTCATGGTCGTTGCATATTTGCTGTTAATCAAGCATATGCTATTGTATCATCATCATTTTCATTTTGGGTTCCAGGTGCTATTATGATTATAATGTACGCTATGTTAATACGAATTGCTGATAGAAAAGAACGTGAAGCATTTGAAATCATGGATGCTGTTGCTCAACGTCGACGTGCATCACAACTAAATCAATATTCTACTCGTCGACGATCAAGTGAGGATCAAATAATTCTCGAAACAACACCAATGACACAACAACTCCCACGTAATAATCACTTATCAACAACAAAAATAAGTAATGGACATTCAACTAATCTTCGTCGTGAAGGAAAACATGATAGTCTTGATACAGTAATGGATCGACAAGCATCTGTTGATTTACATGGTAGTCTAATGGAAACACGCAATACTCATATGAAACATTTAAGACGTGAACGTCGTGCTCTTAAAACTTTAGGTTCAGTTATGGTAGCTTTTATTATATGTTGGCTTCCATTTTTTGTTCGTTATACAGCATGTGAACCAAATCGTTGTAATTGGAAAATTGCACCTCTTATTGCAGATATCGTTTTTTGGGTTGGCTATTTTAATTCAATGATTAATCCGTAAGTTAAACAAAAAAAAAAAAAAACTTTCCAAACAAGATATTTGATATTTTTTTTGGTATTTTTGTTTATTCTAGATTTTTATATGCTTTTCATAATAGAAATTTTCGTACAGCTTTTAAGAAGACACTTAGCCGATCTTTTGTCTGTTGTCGAAGACGTCGTGCAAGTACAACTAGTTCAATTGCATTGCCACCAGCAACACCAAGTGGTGAATCGCAAAAAACAAGTACAAATATGAGACGGCTTAAAAAAAATAACATTATTCGATCAATAACAAGCATTAATGAAAGACCAATAAGAAATAAAAATAATCTAAGTCGTGGAAATATTGTCCTTGAAGTATCCAATGGAAATTTAAGTGGAGGAGAAAATAGTTCATCATCAAAACGTATCTCTTGCCTTTAAATAAACAAATCTTACTGACAATTGTTTGTCTTTATTTTACTATTTGCATCTATTTTTTCAGTTGTATGTGATGAGTGCAGTTACATTAAAAAAAATAGAAGCTTACTGTGATTGCTATCGAGAGTTTCTTTTTTGTTCTTTGTTTTTCTTTGTACTGAATTTCATATTCGATTGTCATTGTATAGCTGAATGTATAATACGATGCCGATGTGCTTCATCGCAAGCCCGGTGAGCGATAATCGAGTCTTTTATTTTTATTTTCTAATTGTTAAAGTAAAGAAAAAAAAAAGAATGAATATGATAAACCAAAAATTAAAATGATCTATAAGGTAATTAAAGTTTTTGTTTTGTTTTTGTTATGATATCAATAATCATAATTAGTAAAGCTGGAAGGAATGTAAGGAACGTCAACATCATAGTAAAAACAAGAAAAAGATTTTCTTTTCTTCGACTGAAGTTTTTTATTATGATGTCTACCATTAGTAAATTTCCTTTTTAGATTTCCAAGTAGAAATATGTTGTTTTGTAACATAAATGAAATACAAGAGTCATGATTGATAAGTCCACATCTATTGATCAATTTGTTTGTCTGCTTATAAACGAATTATTTCGATATCTATCTGTCTATAGGCTAGGCTGATTCAATTCGATAATCAATGATATAAACGAGACTGAAGAATGATAGAAAGAGAAGTGAATTATTGATAGACTTCCTAATCAAGCAATAATGCATAGCGATCCATCTAGAAACAGCTTTTGCCTTCGTCCTTATGATCAGTAAATTGTTTGTGTATTTAAATACATATATTCTCCAAGTTTTCAACGGTAGATTAACGAATATAATGATATCTTCAACGTAGAAAAATATATTGAAAACAATTGCGAGAAGAATCAACTTTAATACTATCTAATGATAGCTATCATTCTGTTTTATTGACGAATTTTCAATGATTTTGTTTCGTCAAGAATTTGCTTTTCTATTCATCATAAACTGTAATCAGTTTATTCATCAGTTTGATTAATATGTTTTTACTAAATTAATTTAAAACTGTAATGAATGCACTAATACTTAAAGAATGAGAACGGATTTTCTTATTATTGGATTGAGATTTATATTACTCATAATTAATGAATTTTCATATACTTGTAAAATGATTATGTTTTTCATGGGATTTGAATCAATAATGATATAGAAGATTGGTGTCACCAATTGAAATCAAATATTGTTACGATAAATCAAAGCTTGTATGTCGTATTCGAAGAATTGAAAAAGAATTACGCTTTTAGTATAGTATCTGTAAAGTAGGTACAGAATCAACAGAATAAAATTCCATCAAAAACATAATATCTTCTTTGAAACAGAAGAATTATTCATAACATAATAAATGGTTATGAAAAAATTTTTTTTATTGATATCAAACGATTAAAATATAGAGATCAATAAAACTATAAAGGAGAAAGTTCTTGTTTACTCTTGTGTTAGTAATACTCAAAGTACATCATAATCTAATTATTTATTATATTTTTGTTTCTTTTTCCGTTATTATATTTTATCTTTTCCTCTAAATATTATCATTTTAAAGCAACATACTTTATATTGCTACATGTCATTCCTATATATTAAGTTTTAGTAAACTATCGATACTTATTAGTATTTTCCATCAATTAAGCCAAGAAGCTGTTGAGAAAAAAGAAAAAAATCTGTCAATGAAACAAAATATTACTTGAATTGGTCTTAATTCATGTAATGAAAAAAGACTAAATTCCAATTTTATACATTAAAGCCGAATTGAACTTCACATTTAACTGCCTATAACGCTACTAGCTATTGTTAACTATAATCTTTAAAACGAATGAAAAGATAAATAGATTACAAACATCTTTTATTGATTATTAAAACACATAATTTCTTTGGAATCTCCAGTTGAATAGGAACTTGGGATTCATTAATAAGTGAATCGTTAAAAGCGAGGGTGACTTTTTTGATGATGATCAACAAATAGATCTTTCTAAAATAGAGATTCTGAAAACTTGAGAGAGAACATTACCAAGCAATCCGATCAGTTTGCTTCTATATTTTGCCAATATTTAGGCATTACTAAAGTAACTTAATCTTGAAAGACTTTCTGCTCATGCTTAGATTCGATTTAGATAGCGACTTTTAAGTAGATTCATCTTGCAGGAGTCTAGTTTCCGGAAAAAAATTCTGTATCAGAAGTTCGATCTGAAATTTTATACTCAAGAAGCTCTCGATTAGATTATCTCATATACGAAATTTCATCAGTTTTGAATATCTATCGTTTTCCTAAGATATGAATTTCTTGATAATTATATATATCTAAGCGTTTCTTTAAGTGTTGTGTAAAATAGGGATGCATTGAGAAGTTCATATTTTAATTATGCAATATCCAAAACTGATGAAACTTTGTAAATAAGATAATTTAATCAAGATCTTTATGTGTACACTGTTTCAGACCAAAATTTCCAAACATGAATTTTTTCGGAAACTTGTTTTCTACAGAGGAATCTACTAAAAAGTCACTATCTCGATCAAATCTAAGCAAGAGTAGGAAACCGTTGGAGGTTACCCTATCTTAGTGATTTTCTACATAGGAGCAAAATATAAGAACAAACGGATTGGATCACTTAGCAATATTTCCTCATCAGTGTGATTACATTATAAAAAAAAGATAAATTTTTTTTCTTATGAAGATACAGAACGTTTCTTGAAAAGAACATTTGGCTTTTAACGGTTGAAAATGAATTAAAAATAAACTTTGTGTTACAATTAAGTTTTTATTTAGACGTCAAATGTTCTTTACGACACAATATTTTTCACGGAAAATAGCGACCTCCTACATAAATGTAAAAGAAAAAGTCTATGAAAAACTATCTTTGGTAAGTAAGCAAACCAATCATAAATTATTATCAATATCGTAATTTTTTTTTTATTCTGAGCTGAATTTATTTGTATATTCCTAATGATCTTTTTCTTTTTGAGATCTTCTAATGATTATAATGCAATTAATTTTTAGAAACAATTGTGTTTACTATTCTTTTTTCTTGAATAACTGTGAAAAAATAAAATTAAAAAAAAAAGATGTGCCGTTTGTTTTGCTTAACAATGATCGAACGATATTTTATTAAATTTAGATTAAGTTTTTATTTGATAATAAATAAAATCTTAATCTCAGACATCAATACATATGTTAGTTTAATATTTATTCACAATTGATTGAAAAGTATTAACAAAATTTTGTAAATTATTCTTTCTTTTTTTCTATTAAATTGTTTAGTTTTTTAGATAAAGTAATGGCAACAACCATCAGAAATCGTGATAATGTTTATTCCAATGGATCAATATCCAGTAATTTTATAAATATTCATGATTGGTTTACTTCATTTCAAGTATGTATCTATTTGTAAAGATATTTTTTCTTGAGCTTTTAATGATGTTCTACCATGTCTCAGGTAATATTCTCTTCCTCTATGGATAAATGAGGTGCTAATGAAGCTAATATTTCAAAATTGCAAAGTGCTCTTTCGCCTACTTCTCATGAATAGAATTGCATGTTAGTAGTCAAGAAGATACTATGTGTGATTTATAATCTTTCTCGATTTTCTGCTTCTGACAGCGTCGCTAAAGAAACGCAAGGAGAGAACATCTTTCTTTTCTTGCCCTCCTTACTGCTACCATTCTCTATACTATGTGTGCATCTTTGTATATTAATCATGAAAAACGAGTAGTCTGAGAAGACAACGGCGAGAGTTGATCTTTTCCTTCTCCTCCTCATCTTCCTTTTGTCTTCTGTTGAAGACGCAAATCTTTTTTCTTGTCTTACGCTTTTTTATTCTCCTAAATAACATTTTTTTTCAATTTTGAAAAGCATAAAGATTCAGTATAAGTGATGAGCAGTGTGTTTCCGAACTGCGGCATTTATCATCTCTCTTCTGTCCTTGGTTACACATTTCAACTCGTATTTGTTGTATCAACTATTCAAATCAATAATTAAGGAACTGCTCACATTTGTCATCTTTTCGCTTGCTTTCATTTATTAATTCACTCAAGTCCAAAGTAGCATAATCCATATGTAATATAGAGAAAAAAAAAGAGAAGAGAGCAAAAGAAAGTACGTTAAAAGAAAAACAAGACATCTTGCTCGTCAGTCAAAAGATTAAAACGTGAACGAGATAGACGTGCTGAGTTAGGCGACAAAGATTATGCTCGCGCGCACACATTGTTTCTGACAGGTGATGCTCACAGAAAGAATAAAAAAATGAAAGAAAGAAGTCTGTTCGCACGACTAGCTTTCACCTTCTTCATTTTTCTTTTTTCTTTTTTACTCGTCTCATCGTTCATATGTGTACGTGGTATCTCTATATTTAAATAAAGGGAATGCATCGGAAATCAAAAGAGAAGAAAAAAGGGAAAAGATGTGAAAAGCATTCTTCTTCTTTCTTTTTCTAGGATGAGAAAGTGCCATCAACTTTGAACTACAATCCAAAGCTTAATGCTGAAATTCATTTAGCCATAACTGAAGAACCTTCGGAAGTATGTATCAATAACTATATATGATATTAATAGTGTTATATATGCCTTTAGTATGTGTCATCGATTTGTGATCATCTTTTTTCACTTTATCATAATGTACAACATCGGTTATTCGTACTTCAATTTCTTCCGTCATTCGTCATAGCCTATTATGATGTTCTTTATCATCATCATCAACTAGAATCAATTGATGCTACGACTAAGGTAAAAATAGACACTGTGCTATGATACTTGCTCATTATCATCGTTCATTCATCTAATGACTGGGTAACATACATACATCCTTTCCATCAGTATATATAAGAGAAGAACAGGAAACCTTTTACACAAATTGAGAGAGGAGAGAAAATGAGATAGAGAAAAACAGATAGTTTGTGTGAAAGTGCACGCCATAGTTTTCTTGAGCAGACAGGCAAAGTCTTAAAGATGGCTTTCTTTTTTTTTTCTTCTTTTCCAGTTTTTCATTTCATAAAATGTAAATCTAAACCTAAAGTGTCGATCTTTGGCGAAGCTTCTGATCTTAAAATCTAATTAAAAAAAATGTAGACATTGTTGTTTTAATAATAATAAATCGTCTAAGTAAGATATGACGGGAAGAAAAAAAAAACATGAAGATTTCATCGTGCGATGATAATATGTTAAAAAGTTTTTTCATTAAGAGAACAATAAGGTAAAAGCGGAAATGAAAGAAACGAGAAAGATAGAGAGTCAAATTTGAAACATGTCAAACAAAGCTAATTTCGCTTTTCATCACCATCATGAACACATACACAAGCTAAATTCATAATGCCTTTGTGCCTGGAGTCGACAGCCACAGCATCATTATCATCATCACCATTGTCGTTCCTCCTTTTTGACAGCATCCTAGCGTGAATAATCCGACTGCAATAGTAGAGATGAGCGGCTTTCTTTTCTTTCTTTTTCTTTTTCTATTTTTTCTCTTACCGCCTGATTATCGTTATTAAAAAGAGAGAGATAGAGAGTATAAGCACGTCGCTTCACCATTTTTTTCTTCATCATTCGATGTGTCTTACTCTTTGCTTATAGGATGTTTGTTCAACAATTGATACTTTCCTTGTCAGTCTTTACAATCTAGTAAGTATGATGATACATATATATATATTAACATAAAAATAAGGTCAAGACATTGTCTAAACGGTAGTTAGCTATTGATAACAGTTGTCATAAACTAATCTGTATCAGTAGCTCTACTACTGAATAGCCAACATAGGTCATCAACGACGATTCTACTAATCATAATAGTCTAACATGTTTTTCTAATACATAATTGACATAAAACAGAAATATTCATTTTTTGTTCTATCCTATAGAGTGTGACGGATGATGGGAATAATGAAAAAACCGTTGAATTCCGTAAGTGTTGTAAACAAAGAAGAAGAAGACCAATTTTTTTTAATCTGTCATTGATTATATATTTTTCACTACTTTCAATAGGTGTTCCAAATTTAACTCTTCCATCTATTTATCATAAACCGAATCCTGTAAGTCTTTCGGTTGATTCTGGCAAAGAAAAACCAATTTGCACATATATATGAAACTTAAATATTCTAATATTTTATTTTCAGCAGACATAAAAACAATTATCAATAGAGTTTTATAGGAATGTCATCTTCAAAAAAAAAAACCACAAAAAAAGGAAACATTCTAATTGAAAAGAAAAGAACAAAAAAAATTCTCTAAAAGAAGCAAGAAATAATAAAAAAAAGAAAACTGTATGAATAAAAAAAAAAAAGAAAATCAATGCATAATAATTGAACAATATACAAACAAATATTGAAGATGTTTTTTTAATAAAACCAAGAAAATGGATTATCTCACTAATAAAAAAAGAAAATTAACGAGATTATATAAGAAATAGTATTTATGTTAATAGAAAAGAAAAGATTTTTAACTTAATTAAAAAGAGTATTTATTTTTAATTGAATAAATATTAATGAAAATAATATGTTCAATAATGAGCAATTAATAAATTGATATATACACATATATTGATTTGTTTAAGATGCACATCATGTTCTAAGAGAATTTGTTCTTAACTACTCTTCTTTCGAAACAATAAAAATTTGTTTATATCTGAGAAGATATTTTATGAGACAGGTGTCGATCATTGGGATTTTTAACCAGAATGAAAGTTCAAGAAATTTGATATCATGACTTTTTATGACGCAACAGAACGATACAGTAAGATAGTTCACCTAACAATCTCTCATTGATATTTCCATTATAGTGTTTAATATGGCTTATGGTGATAGCTAAACTGTAATAAATAACATGAAGAGAGTTTTCATCATTATTGAAATGAAGTTACATTGTGTTCTGTATTTGAATCTGTGGATACTGTAAAACCTTTTTTTTAGATTTTCAATAATATATAATGATTAGAAGACTTCTTCTTTAAATTTCTAGCCAAAAAGCAAAACATAATAAAACCCTCATGGTTTGATCAAGAAAATGCCGAATAATAAGTTGTTTTAAACTCCTATTAATCCTATTGAGTTTCTCTTTTGAATTGAATATATATATAGATAAAATATGAAAAGTTTGTCTTGATATTTTATTGCATATGAAATCAATAAATTTGTTTAATTTAGGATCATTATGCTCCAATACTGCTTACTCAATATGCAATATCGAAACATGAGCAAAAATGCGAAGTTATTCGTTTACAAGCTTTTACTCCATATGATTCTGTCAATGGAAATACAAGGTAAAATACAATAATAGAAAACTGAATCTTTATTAGGATTACTATTTCAGCAGTTCAAAACTAATGATCAATTATCAGGGGTTTGTTTCTAAAGCTAAATATATATTGTTTTTGACTGACGGAAAAGAAAAAATTAATTATTAACTTTATATTTTGGAATAGTTTATTTTTCAATTACTTGCATGAGGTTTTATTTTTCTTATCTAGCAATCATATGGAATGGAAAACAGGCTCAAGAAATTTCCATTATTTGTGTGTAGATTATGTGTGTTTGTCTTTTAAAAGAAATAAGAACTCCTTTGACTAATGCTTGTTAACAAATATTTTTTTTTTATTAAACAAATTTATAATAAAAATTTTTTTATAAAATGCTTTTTCTTTTTCAGGGAACAAATTCTCTGGTTTCTTCTCATTCAATATGGTACAGATGTATCTTTTATGGATAAATATTCTCGACAATCATATATTCAAATGTCAAAAAAGTAAATAATATGACAATATTCATTCATATATCATTTCGTATATATTTCTTGTTAGATTACTTGGTCAAGGTTTTTCATTTAATGGCGATCAATCATCAAAAACGAAATCAGTTTTACCACCAAATGGTCGTCGTATTCATGTATCAAGTCGAGTTATGTCTGAAATGTTGGGAACATTATTTTATTTTAAGTAAGAAAAATAATTTTTATTAAAAAACAGAAAAAAAATTTATCTTTTCTTAGATTTAATGCATTAGATAATGAAGCAGATGAATGTATGCGTTTATTAAAATATCGTGCAGAATATGAAATGTATGCTGATGTTATATTAGTAAGTGTTTAATACTATTTTTTTTCTGATTTTATTTCAATTCATTAGATGACTGAATCAATGAAATATTTACATCAATTTGAAACTGAACGACCTGAACAACACGATACAATGGGTATTGAAATAGAATTGCCACCAGCAATGGATATAGTACGACAAAAACGAACAGCAACAACAAGACGTTCAATGAAAAATCGTCAACATTTCAATAAACAAAATGATCAAACAGGTACATAAAAAAACAAAAGCAAATGTCTTCTTTTCATATTTATACTATTTAGAAACATCAAATATTTCATGTTTATAAAAAAAAAATTATAATTAGCTATTTTGCATCTTTATTTCGTTGTTTTTTTTGTCCTGTTTTATTTTTTTATTGTTTAGTTCTGAATGAAACTAGTATTGATGATAATATAGATATTACACCTTCATCACAACCACAACCACCCAAACTTAACGTGGCTGATGAAAATTTTCTAACAGTTGAATATAAAAGTTTTAATGAGTATGATGATGGTCAATCATCACCAATAATCGATGAAGCCCGATCAAATATTTCTTCATCAATTGGTCCAGCTACATCAACTCCATCACCATCATCAACTCGTCATTACAAACCAGTATCATTAACTTCAACACAAACTTATTTTAAAAATATTCAACAAAATGGTTCATCGCCAATTTTACAACTCAAAACAATGAAACATAATGATGATACTTATGAAGATAAAGAATCAACAACAGTGTTAGCATCGTCACATTCATCCAGCATAAAACATGGAAGAAAAAAGGATGTTATAACAACAGTTAGATTTACTGATGGTACATCACATGAAAATGAAACAAATATTGAAGAAACATATCTTTAAAAGTGTTTTTTTTTTACTTGTTCTGTGTGCATAATGATTATTAAGGAAGCATTCGTTTCACTTTTGTTTGTCTTTCTTTTTATATTGCATTTGTTTTTCACAGTATAAAAAAGTATACGCATAATAAACAAAAATAAATGAAAAACTGTTTTTTTGTCTTACTTTTATTTAATGTAGATATAATAATCTTCATTGTAGTTTAGTTAGATATTGTTCTGTCAGTAATGGGTGATCATCACTTAGTCTTCCCTGAAGAAAGTCTTCTCATGAAATACATCATCAATATTTATCCCTTTTCGTCATTCAATTAAATCAACAAACGAATAATCAAAAGACTCATTAGTTTCATTTTCTCCCATGTATTCAACTTATGAAATATTTTTCTAAGAGGAAAAAACGAACTGATTAAACTTTTCTTTTGTTGTCAACAAAAAGTAAAAGCATCGAGCAAAATACTTCGAAAACCATGTCTTTATTTTTTTCTCAATAACCGTCACCAGACTTGTTTAGTAAAAAACATAAAAGAACAAATAATCCTATGATGTGAACTATTTTCAGATGATGTTAATAAATTACTTTTTAAAACGAACTTATCGTACAAATGTGAATACAATTCAATGGAACAAAACTATACGAAATCATCAATTAAATGGAAATTACCAACAAGCTTTAAAATTATTTCAAATAGGTATTGAAAAAAAAACTTTTCAACCAAATTCTGTAACTTATTTAACAATGCTTGATATATGTAAAGAATTAAAATCTTTATCAACCTTACGTACAATTCATCATTTAATTGATTCATCAAAAAATCTTAACAACAACAATAATAATAATGATGATGATGATATTTATAATAATCCACGTATACGATCATTATTAATGGATGTTTATATTAAATGTCAAGATCTTGATAGTGCTTGTCGTGTATTTCAATCTATGAATGAACGTAATATAATTGATTATTGTGGTTTAATGACTGGTTTTAATAATCAAGGACAATATGACAAAACATATGAACTTGGAAAACAAATTCCATCGTCAATGAAATATTCATCACCCCTTCTTTGCACACTTATATTACAAGCATGTACTGAATTAAAACGATATGATGATGGTTATAAAATTCATCAAAATGGAAGACATTTTCTTCCAGGCAATAAAATGTTTATGAATGAATTACTTAATTTTTATTTAAGATTTAATCAAGAAAAACAAGCATTAGATATTTTCGAAAACAATTCAAATCAACAAACAATTATTGATTATAGTTTATTAATGAAATATTATAATCATCAATATCAACCACAAAAAACAATTGATTTATATTATCATTTAAAAAAAAATTCACATATTCAAATGGATCATATTATTTATGTACTTGTTTTACAAGCAATAGCTAATGGATGTTGTTTACATACAAGTAAACAAATTCATGATCATATTAATAGATTTGGTACAAATATTGATATTGATAATGCACTTATCAACATGTACGGTAATTGATAATCTATTTCATTGGTTTTTATTCAATATGATTGTTAAAAATTGAGAAATTTAGAATTGTTCAATGGAAAAACACACAGCCGAGTTTATAGACTTTGAGATTTACTGTTATTTTTGCTTGAAGTACTGCTTCGTCTTGATAGATTGTCTTCGTTCTATGTTACGAATTTATTTATCAGCATCAAATAGAAATATGTCGTACTTGCTCGTGATAATTTGAAGAGAATAGAGATTATTACAGAAGATCTGTATGACTTAGATACGCTTAGAAATACACATGCCATGCAGAACACAAAACACGGATTTACAATCTGAATATTTATTTTAACAAATTTCCAGCGGCTATTCACATCTATTAAAGTTTCATGAGATCTTATCCTTCAAGTGCAGTATTTCCTATTTAAGATTTGGTGTGACCGTAGTAGGATTTTGGTCATGGAAGTTACCACTCGTTAAAATAGACATACCTCTTATATTTTTGTTAACTAGTCAGAGGTTTCACTACACAAATGACTTCATGTTTGTATAGATCCAGTATCTGCAACTACTTTTATATGCAATGATTGACGTATATAAATCACGAATAAGATAATGAAAATTTATATTTTGAATAATAATAATAATGCTAAAATAAAGTCAAACTTTCAATGTATGATTCTTTTCATTTTGTTTCGAGAGGCTAATAGGAATACCTATGCTGGAAATTAATAATATTAAGTTTTTCATTGACAACATCTTTTCACTTGCAGCTGACTTGTCCATGATTCGCTTGATTAGATAAATTATCCTATTTAATTATAAACTGATTTTGTTTCCTTGTTTTTCACTTCTACACATTCTCGTCACTTTTACTCATAGAATCGATATATTGAACCTTTGCGTCAATAATATTTATAGTTTACATAAAAATATCCTAACAAACTAAAACCAATTTTCATCATTCACGGTCACAGTCACGGATTGTAAATATTGTGACCGCGACCCAAAAACTTATTCACACCAAGTACTATTTTAGTTCCATTCGATCGCTTCATCCAACACACTTGTTAAGAGAATTTCTCATATACAACTTATGCCATGGTCAATATCTTGACAAACTCAAAAGTTGCAATAGATGCTGTTGGAGCCTTTTTTATATGCTGCATTTTTATCGTATTTTTTAACATAACGCCATTGTCCCTCTTAGGAATACCAGGAAAATTGAGCTTTGAATTTTGACTTGAAACTTTGTACAGAGATAGACCTTAACAAGAATAGTTTATTTGAAAGTTTCAGTTTTTTTGACTGAGTCTATTCTGAGACAAGACCATCGGAATCAACCGTTGTATATGAACAATGTGAAGAACATGCTTTTACCATAGCCGTACTTTAGAATAGAAGCAATTGAAACATTTGAAACGTTTACAATAAACTATTTTCATTAAGACTTGTCTCTGTACAAAGTTTCAAATCGAAATCCGAAACTGTATTTTTTTTTTGGTGTTGCTGAGAAGGACCATGGTATTCCGCTAGCAAGTACAGTAAAATACAGTATTTCAGCAGTAATAAGCTATTAGTCTGAACTCTTTTCAGGATATTCATGGCTTATTAGAGTCTAAACGTTGCACGCTGTTCTGGCTCAAAAGCGATTTGACACTTGTAAACGTTTTTTCGTTAGTATTTAACTGTCCTCTAGTCATTGCGCATATCCAAAAAATTTTATTAAAATTGATTATTGGATGTAAAACTACAGAGAAAAAGGAAAAAATTACCTATGATATATAAATTTCCATCGATTGGCAGTTTACATAGGACTTGAATACATTCTTTGTTGTGTTGAACATTTTAAACAATGATAAGTTTTAAAAATAGGATGTTCTTTTTCTTTTAAGGTAAATTAGGTAATCTCGATCAAGCTGAAAAAATTTTTCATTCAATGTCTAAACATAACATTGTTTCGTACAATATATTACTTACTTTATATGGTCTTTATCGTCAATCCGATAAAGCTTTAAGTTGTTACAACCAAATGCATCAACAAGATCATCGACCAGATGATAAGACATATGTTATACTTCTTCATACATTAAGTCAAACACCAAATAAAATCAATGATGTAAAACGTATATTTTTCAATATTGAAGAAAATAAACGTGGACCTATGTTAACGGCAGCCATGATAGCTGCATTGATTCGAGCACAATTATTTGATGAAGTAAATGAATTATTAAAAAAATTACCTAAAGAAAATATTTTATTCTATGCAATAAAAGCAAATATAAATGAAAAAATAGATAAATTTAATTATCCAATATTAATAACAAATGAACAATTAGCATTATATGATTTATTAATGAGTAATATATATACATATGCTGGTTTAAATGATCGATTAACAACAATTGATGAAATGTTATATGAAAATAATAAATTAAAAAATATGTTATCATATTCTTGGTTTGAAAAATCGAATGGAAAAATCGAATATTTTAAAAGTACAAATTCACAATTAGAAATTTGTGAACATACAGAAAAGCTAGCACTTGACAATGCATTAGAAGAACAAAAAAACCTGTCATTACCAATTCTGATTGGAAAAAATCATCGTATATGCAATGAATGCCATGAATATTTTAAAAAAGTTTCTTTTTCTTCTGCTTCTAAAAAAAATATTTACTTACGTGATTCAACTCGTATTCATTTATTTTCATGTGGCTTGTGTTCTTGTGAAGTTACTTGAGATATTTTTCGTCTCTGTCATAATGATTCTGATTTGTTGACAGAAAAAAGAAAAAGACATATTTATACATAGCAGAACGATGCTAGTTATATTCTAAACCTTTGTTTTAGATTTATATGAATAATAAGTAACCAAGTATAATAACAATATGCAACCTTCTACTAAAAATTCAAGTCAACCACCTCGTTCAACAGAATTTATAACCAATAACTTACCAGCTTATAAAAGCGGTTGGCTCTATAAACGAGGTATTCATAAATGAAAATAACATTGAATTGAGTAGAGTCAGGTTGACATAATCTGACATGTGTACTTTTTATGCAAACTTAATTTTGATTGATATGTTTTATCTTAAGGTGAACATATCAAAACTTGGCGTCCACGTTATTTTGTTCTGTTTCATGATGGTCATTTATACGGTTATCGTAAATCACCGGCTGTGAATGATAATCAACAAGAAGAACCACTTAATAAATTTCAAGTTATTGATTGTAGTGTTGTTCGACAAGATAAAATAAAACAAAATGCTTTTGTTATACATTTCAATCAAATGAAAATTGAAAGATTATTTGCTGCTGGTAGTCATCAAGATCGGTAAATATTTATTAACTCAATATATATATATATTATTTTTGTAATAAATTTTTATATATTTCAGTGAGGAATGGATAACAGCAATTGAAATAATTAATCGACAAACCACACCACATTTACAAAGGCAATTACCATCGGTGAAAATGGTTACAAATGATGATGCCGATAATACAGAAAATGAATATCCATCAATGAATGAAGTATTTGCACGACGACCAGTAAGAGAAAAAAAATAAAAATAATAGAAAGTAAAATTTATTTATTTATTTTGAAAAGCAAATAAATGATTTTGAATATTTAAAAATACTTGGTCGTGGTACATTCGGTAAAGTTGTTTTATGTCGCGAGCGTACAACACAACGAATATTTGCAATGAAAATGTTACGCAAAAGTCTTGTTGTAACAAATGTAATGAGGAAAAAAAAACAATAATTTTATCTTATATATATTAGTTTGTCTTTTTTTGTTATGTTCTTACCATAGAATGAAGTTGTACATACAATGGGTGAAAATAAAATTCTTCGTCGTATTCGTCATCCATTTATAACAGTAATTTCTTTCAGTGTTTTTTTTTTGAAAAACGTTTTATTCATTATTTAATTTGTCATGTAGAATTTAATATGTGCATTCACTACAAGTGATCGTCTTTGTCTTGTTATGGAATGTGTTAATGGTGGTGAACTTTTTTTTCATTTAAATCGTGAAAAACGTTTTTCGGAAGAACGTACAAGATTTTATGTAGCTGAAATAGCTTGTGTTATTGGTTATCTTCATTCAAAAAAAGTTATTTATCGTGATATTAAAGTACGTGAAAATAAAAAAAAAAGAAATATTAATTTCAAATCTTATTCTCATGTGTTTCTTTTATATAATTAGCTTGAAAATATTCTACTTGATCGTAATGGCCATATCAAATTAGTTGATTTTGGTTTATGTAAAATAAATGTACCATTCGGACACACAACTGCGACATTTTGTGGTACACCACAATATATAGCACCAGAGGTATTATTATTATTAAGGAAATTTCTAATTAACGAGATCATAACGATGTTGAAAAGTATTCAAAGGATAGATCCGTTTAGAAGAAAAATTTCACATACAACTGTGAAAAACTCATTAACAGAAAACGATGTCCAATCAATAAACTAAGAGCTCGACTTCAGAAAAACAAATGAAAACAATCCTTTGAAACCTTTCAATTGGTTACCATGGTGAAAAAAACCTATTCATGACTACGGATAAGTTCTTATGTTGTATGATTAGATTTTTTCGAATAATCTCAGAGATACCTTGTAGAGTTGAACGAATAAATAGTGACACCAGAAGAACTTAACTCTCAACATCTGAGAAATATAAAAAAAGAGAAATGACCATTTTATAGAACATACATGCCATGCGAAGCTATTTTTTTCTGTATCTGTTCACTAACTATCTTATTTTAGCATTACTATTAGAATATTTTCAACTTACAAAAACATCAGTAATGCTTTATAGGTTTTGGATCTTCTTAAGTATTATCTTTTGTTAAGAAGATTCAACATTTAGTGTTGTTCTGCAAGAATCTTTTTTTTTATAGAAATAAAATTCACTAGATTTTATGTAATAAATATTAATTGAAAAGAAACCATATTATATGAATAGATTCTTCGAATGACATCGTATACAAATGCAATCGGCCAATAAGACACTCATACATAACAACACCAGTTCCCCACCAATCGATTGCATTTGTATACGATGTCATTCGAAGAATCTATTCATATAATATGGTTTCTTTTCAATTAATATTTATTACACAAAATCTANCTCAGAGATACCTTGTAGAGTTGAACGAATAAATAGTGACACCAGAAGAACTTAACTCTCAACATCTGAGAAATATAAAAAAAGAGAAATGACCATTTTATAGAACATACATGCCATGTGGATCTATTTTTTTCTGTATCTGTTCACTAACTATCTTATTTTAGCATTACTATTAGAATATTTTCAACTTACAAAAACATTAGTAATGCTTTATAGGTTTTGGATCTTCTTAAATATTATCTTTTGTTAAGAAGATTCAACATTTAGTGTTGTTCTGCAAGAATCTTTTTTTTATAGAAATAAAATTCAGTAGATTTTGTGTAATAAATATTAATTGAAAAGAAACCATATTATATGAATAGATTCTTCGAATGACATCGTATACAAATGCAATCGATTGGTGGGGAACTGGTGTTGTTATGTATGAGTGTCTTATTGGCCGATTGCCATTTGCTGATAGTAAAAGTCAAGATGGTCTTTTTCAAAAAATTCTTTATCATGAACCATCATATCCATCTGGTTTATCACCAATGGCACTTGATTTAATACAACGATTTCTTAAAAAAGAGCCAACTGAACGGTAAACGAAAACATATCTATAATTTATTATCATTTATGGTTTAAATTTTTTAGCATCGGTTCAAGTGTAGAAGATGCTCACGAAGTTGAACGTCATCCATTCTTTGTCAATATTCCATTTCGTTTCTATGAAGAGAAAAAGGTTCAGTTTTGTTTCTCTATGAAATAAATTTAAAATAAAGAGTCTTGTTTCTTTTTTTAAGATTCTACCACCTTTTAGACCACTACTTGATTCAGATATAGATACACGGTATTTCGATACAGAATTTACCAATGAACCAGTTTGTGTAACACCACCTGGTAATAAGAAAAAAAAATTTATTTTATTTGATATAAAGCCAACTAATTTATTTTCAGGTAGTACTGATTCTATAAATGCTCTTGGCATGTCAGATGATGCATTTGAACGGTTTGTTTGTTTTTTTTTGTGTAGTTCTAACCATATTATAATCTATTTAGATTTACTTACGTTGGTAATGATGGATTAAGTCATATTACATCTCGATCAATTTTATCAATGGCATCATCAAATGCTGCTTGTTCACAGTCAAATATGTATCTTGTTGATCCTGATTATTATCATAAACATCAAAATGTTCATAATTTACCACCCCAATATTCTGTATCAACAATGAATATGCCATCAATGGGTACTGATTCATCACCATCAATGATTAAAACTGCAGCAAGCATGCAACAATTAAAAGGCTCAGCGATGAATATAAATAATGAATCAAATATTTTAAATAATCAACAAAAAATGAATATGGAACAAGATCAACTACAAGCACAATCAATTTCATTAATACCAGACATTTATGAACAACAATTAATGCATGAACGTCTTATGTGTATACAACAAATGATGGCTAGTGGACAAAATTTTGCTTCAATGTTTAATGATGATCCACATTTTGCTCAGCAAATAATGTCTTATATAGCAGCTGCTCAACAGCAAAATGAACCAGAAGTTATTGAAATAATGGATGAATAAAATGATCACTTGAGTATGTCAGATTTTCTATTGTATTTATCATTAAAAAAAACAATAATCAAACTATAGTTTTTCTATCAATAATATATCAACTTATTAGTTTTGTTTATTTCAAAATTTAGTCTTGTTTTCGTTTGTCAATGAAATATATCTACGAGAATATTTTTTTCTATTACTAAATATCATGTGTATTGTCATTAATTTTTTTCTTGTTAAAATAAATTCTTATATAAATAAACAAAGACTTTTACTTTGATGATAAACTAATAACGGATACGACATAATGTATAGTTTCGTTTTGAATTTCATATTTTCATCATTCAATACGAAATCCAACACGAAAAGCTCTACAAGACACAAAGAACAGCTTATTGAATATACGCACGGTTTTTTTCAATCAAACGTCGATGCTACCAACTTGATCGTTTCTTTTTTGTTAAACGATCAATTCAGTTTTTTCTATGCCATTATGACGAACAATGGCACATACACCAAAAGATTAAATATCCAAAGAGAATGATGTATGATTAAGTACTTGAAAGAAAGACCTTATGCTTCCAATTATATTTGAGCCTGAGAAAACATTCTCTGATGACAACTATAATGAAGTTATTCGTTTACACGCGCAACCTGAAGGTAAACGGCTGATGGGAAATGATTTTATCTATCAATAAGACAATAACACGTAACACACAAATGCAGAATCATTAATATGATATGAAGAGAGTTTCATGCATTTTATAAACGACTAAAGATAACCATTTTACAGTCCTGAGTAGACATCGGCGTGACCAACATTTTTTGGTCACGGTCACGATCAGTTTGGTCACGGTTACGGTCACGATTACGACCGTTGCCATCGTGACCGTGACCGTGAGTCACGGTATCTACGCCAGTCTCTATACGAACGACTATTTTCTTTTTTCTCAAAATAGCATACCCTTCTCTTCCGATACGAGGTCCCTATATTAGAAGGCTTTCCATAATAGAAGACCNATTTCTATGAGAACAGTTTAAAATATATTAATACTGAGTATATTTTTTCTGGTATCGCGATTGTATTGATTCTATTCCTTCGTTTTAAGTTAGCATAATTAGAAAAGGATATTGATACATATTGAAAGAATACTAAATATAATATTTAATTCTCTAATAAAGTTTGAAAATAACTGCTTTATAGTTACATTGAAAATTTATCGTGACTGGCCGTGACCATGTTTTCGTGACGGTCATGCCGATGTCTAGTCCTGACCTCCATTTGTTGTATTATTATGTATGATATGCTATCTTCGATAAGGTGCCATGAAATGAAGTTGAACACTATGGTTCATTGATTGATGAAATAAGTAAAGAAATTCTTTGCATGTCAAAAAAGTGATCTTGTTCGCAGCACGTGAAATTGGTCGAACACAATTCCGTTCATTTCGAAAACAAAAGGTGCATATATTAAATAAGCTTTTGTTTATAAGTTATAGAGCTTTAAACGGTGCATCTTGTGATAGATTTTTTTTCAATACTTATAATATCATGGATACGTTCCATAGTCAGCTAGATGCATCATATAAAGTCTGAGACAATCGAAAGTGTTCGTATTTAAATTAGAAATATTTCCCTTATAACCATTTCTGGAAAAAACGTTTATATTTAACCTCTTTGCTTATCGTTAATACTTTTAGTGAAGTGTGAAAATCAAATATTTGAAGATGGAATATTTATTCACAAAAGCGTATTTCTTTTATTACAATACGATGACAACACTCAGAAAAAAAAAACAACCATAAGAATAGATTCAATGTTTAAATTCGATGAGGTGGTATTGGTGCAGTATCAGTCAATTGATCTCCTAGAAGCATAACAAGATGAATAGAAAAATTTTTTAAATATAATTAATATTTACCATCGAGTGGTAAAAGTGATTTAATCCAAAATGCATTGAGAAGATGATCAATTTTTGGACGACCAGAATTGGGATGTACGAGAACTGTAAGATTGCCATGATATATTGAAATAAATGATACAGCTTGAGTAAATTGTTCAAGTGGTAAATAAATTCCCCATGAACCAATTGGATGTGGTCTAAATTAAAAATATTATATGAATAATCATTTTCAAAATATAAGATCTATATTACATACCCAATAGGCGCCATGTTTAAATTCCAATGACAAATTTTTGGACACCATGTTTCACAAACATCATTACAATCATCAACATTAAATTCATTAAGAAAACGATTTCTTAATAAAGTAGCTTCGTTTGTTTGATTTTCATTCTGTTGAAGGAAGTATACATGAATATGGTATGAATAATACGTTATATTATCATTGAGTTTCGTATCTTTCAAATCAAAATTGACTCGAGAAATGAACAAATCATCTATATTATCTTGTCGAATGACATGTCCATTTGCAAATAAATTAATAGTAAAATACAGAAATACGACAAGAACAATTTTGTTTGACATCATTTGTTTTTCTGCGCAAAAGGTAAAATTGAGAATAATAACTTAAAGTTTTTTCTTTATAAATATAAATAACATATGTGAGATATCACAAAAAATTGCAAGCACAATATGATAGAAGCAAAGATAAGAATAATGGACTTTCTTTCAAAAAAGATCATTTTCATGACAGAGCTATTGATTCAATGGTGAAAAAGCAAAATCTAACTTAGTCAACGATGATAAGTAAAAATATATTGAAAAAAAAAACTGTGCTCCTTTCTGAAATATTAGAACGAAGTACAATTTTATTAATCAAGTTTAACAAAAAACATCGCAAAATTTTTTTTGCAAAAATCAAAAACTTTTATAATGTTAAAATATTTTGAAACTATTTTAATAGAAACTATTAAACACCTGTTTGAACAACTCGATTATCCAAAACACTATTAATTACTGTCGAACACGTATTGTTAGAAGAATTTAATCCGTGTAAAGGTGAAAAAACTTTATTTGCCAGATGTTGTTTGTGATTTTTCATTATTGAATGATAAGAATAATTTACGTCTTCATCTTCACTGTCTAATCCTGATAAATCAAATTCAGTTGTTACATAAGATAAACTTTTAAAAACATTTGAATTAGCTTTATTTATTGTACCATCCACTTCGAGTTGCTTTGTCCAATGAGTACAACCCATATATTGTGTTAACAGGAGTAATTTGCGTGTAAAAAATCTCGTTCAATATCTTCAAAGAAATAACATGATATATATGTCATAAACAAATATATTGTTGAGTTCTGTTTTATATAATGATAAATCTTAAAAGAAAAAATATTCATTAGAATTTACCGTAATAAACTCATGTAATTAGACGATGGTCAGTGAAAACAAAACAGAACTTAGAAAAACCCAATTTTAATTAAGAATGAGATATAAACCATTTACAGATTATACTCTTTCATAAATCAAATCAATGATTCACATCCTAAAAAATACATCATATTTTATATAATACCTGTACAATCAGAATAGAGTAACAGGTATGTATTGATGGACGATATAATGTACTTTTGTTGCAATAATATCGTCACGCTTCACTACTTACTTCAATTGTGCACATATTCGTATATTTGTTCACCATATTTACTTGATACTATTTTATATCAGATATGAAAAAAAAACAAATACATAAAGCTTTTACGTCATAGAGAAATAATTTATTAGAGAAATTAAAATTTACACTGGAATAAAATTTTGAGTGTGAGATCTTCATCTCACTTAAACTATATTTCGATATCACTATATATGACTCTCTCTTTAACAATAATGTAATGACTATGTAAATAGAGTGATAACATGGGGTAAATCCTAAGAATAAAAAGTCCCATAGGTGATGAACATGAAAAGAAAAATCCATAGGACAGCATACAAGAAAGAAGAACGAAAGAAAGGAAAAAAAACCATCAACTGTATATATGTATGACAGGAAAGGAAAATTCCATAGCGCACAACTAACAACAAAAAAAAAGATGAAGAATATGTGTACACGTATGACCATGTAGACAAAGAAGGAAATCCTTATGACCGCATCTGGACAAGATATAGGTCATAATAGTGAGCACGATGAAATAATTCATTCTGTCAATTTAATATGTCAACTTTTGTAGTATTAGTTGTTAGAACTTGATAAAAGCAATTGGTTCTACATTACTGTAGTGTCAAAATAGAACATTTGCATTGAATACGATTCAATTCTCGGATCAGAAAAACTTCATGTTAATCGATTGACATGTGGTGTCCTCTAACTTTTGTTCATATATATGAAAGATGATTTTAAAACGATTTTATTCTATTCTACCTTGAATTTTACTTTTAATTATGTTTTATTTAAAAATTTCTTTCATGAATAATAATCTTTTGTTTAACAATGAAAACAATGATTTGTCGCTATTGTATTCACTTTTTTAAACCAATAATTGAGCATCTTTTGAAGTCCTTTCTTCTCGAGTATTTGTCTCGTCCTCCATCGTTTTTCTCACGATCAGTCTATTCATAATCGTCGGTTACATATTTGTAAAATGTGTACATACATTTATTTGTATTTAACTACATTCGTATAGTTGTATTTCTTAAATCTGTTTTTTAGACTAATTTTCAAGTACATCTAATCACCACTGTCATGAACCATTATCCAGCTTTTCTTCGTTCGTACAATGGTAAATCTACTAGTTCAACTAGTAATTCATCATCATCTAATAGTGAAAATGATGAAAATTCATCAATAAAAAGTCTCATTTTTAAACATTTATCTAAAGTACAACAAGGTTCTTCAAATAATAATCATAATAATAATACAAAAGGAACAATGCGTGGCATCCTTGGTGAAGTTGGCAATATGACATTGTCGAATATACAAATGACATCAATAATAACTAAACCCAAAACACTTCAACAGCAATCAGTAACAACTATTGTTGAAGCAACATCGACCATAACTGCACCGCCGCCAGCGCCACCACCACAGCCACCGTCAACATCAATCATACCAATAGTTGTAAATAAAATCGAAAAAGTTACTTTAGATGATGATCAAGAAAATAATGAATATATGCCACATGAACCAATAGCAAAACTTACAAAGGTTCCATCGGAATTTGATTGCGATAGTGGTGATTCATATAACATAACGACTGTATCGGAATATGTCGTTGATATTTGTAAATATTGGCGTGAACTTGAGCAACTTACACCAATTCGACAGAATTTTTTATTAAATCGTACTGAAGGTAAACAAAACAAGTTACATATATTCAATTGAATAATGTTTTGTTGTTTGCTTTGTTTCCTACTAGGTACAGCATCACCTCAAAATCGAGCTGTACTTATTGATTGGCTCTATCAAGTACATGACCGTTTCAAACTTCTTTCAGATACATTTCATATGACAATTCAACTTATTGATCGTTATTTACAATTAATTGATGTATCAAAGCATGAATTACAACTTATTGGATCGACTGGTACGAATTGGAGTCTATAGTTTTTTAAGAAAAAAAAATTCAAAATAGAAGAAAACAAAAAGTTTCCGAAACTTGTATAAAGAGTAATCAAGTCTGATCAATATCATTGAAACTGAATGTTTATGAATGTAAAATGCAATTAAAAAGAAAGCTAATCTTTCGAGAGAACTAATGTGATTAATTGTTAACATTGCTTATCCTCGTTTAGTGATCGTATGACTCATGCAAAAAATAGTCAGGCGACGAAGTATAGTGCATTCAACCAGAAAAAAAACATTTTTGATTCCACTTGAATGGTCTACGGTCGTTTCCTGTCGGAAACTGATCGGATATTAAATGTATAAATCTAATGCCTGGATTCACTAGCTAGCTATGCTCGGTTCTCATCGAAAAAATCATTGAGCTGAGCTGCAGAAATGATTAGCCTGCAATAGTATCGTATTTTCTTGAATTTCACTGCTTATAACTTAGCAATAAAGACAAATGTTTGGTCAAAAAAGAAAAAACAAAATATTCTTCTATGACTATTCTACACTTGGAATTTTTCTTATGAAGTTGATAAATCTTGTTTTTCTCAATTACTCAGATTGAGCAAGCATGCTCGTAAACGACGGTAAATCGTCCTATTTTCACTTACTACATAATTCCGTCTTACTCCATATTTTGCCGTATGCTTCGTCCTGAGTATATATTTACAGGATGATCTATAAATAGCTAGACGATTAGACAAAGATTGATATTTCCGATCTGCTTGAATTAATCGGGTTGGTTCTTTTTCTCCGCGATAGAGTTCTCTTCGAAGTCTTTATTAAAAAAGAAATCAGCAATAAATACTGCCTTGAATTAGCACTACTGATCTCGATAAAGAAATTCATTACTAGTTGAAATCATCTCAACCGTTTTTAAAATTAAACATTTGAATTTTTAGCATATACACTCTTAGAAATGTAGGCCTACAAGAATAGCTAATTTCAATCGCTTGAGTTAAAGAAGAGTTATGAGGTATGACAGCTCTCCTTACTACCAATTCTTTGATTCAAGAAGAGACGAAGCTTATGATCTGATGAACTTATCATTATGTGAAATATCCACAGCTTTTGAACACTAAGATGAAACTTGATGACATTTTTTGCGTGTATAATCATATGGAAAGACTACATGATGTTAGTTCAACAAGTCATAAGCTTCTTTCATTCTGATGTTATAGAACTCATACTAAGAAGATTTGTCAAAGATAATAACTTCTCTTCAACTCAAACAGCTGGGGTCAGGTTGGTCGTACTGACCTATATTTCTAAAATAGTACATATGCTAAACATTTAAAATGTGTAGTCGTCCGAATTGCTGAGATTATAATATGAGATGACTTTGGTGAATATTGCATTTCTTCATCGAGGTGAATTGTGCTAGTTCTACACTACATCTATTTGACAGCTTCTGTATGAATAACAAGTTCGATTAGCCGACAAAAAAATCAGCCCGATTGATTCAAGCAGACTGAAGATATTGAGTTTTTTTTTATCGTCTAGTTATTTATGGGCTATCCAATATATATATATGAGAAAATATAATTCATGTAAAATATTTTATGAATTTCTTGAGTTATGTCTAATGTCTGATATTGAAATTAGTCAGCGCCATTAAATCAACGCAGGATTCTAATGAGTTCGCTATTATTAGTAGTGAGAAAAAGAGCTTTTGTTTTGTATTTTGGTTATTCAATGAGAAGAATTTTTTGAATCACCGAAGAAAAAAATGAAGTTACCGAATCTCTCTCTCTGCATCTTTCTAGATAAGGAAGGAAACGAAATTCGCTTATGTTTGTCGATTTACTCATTGGAGACATATACCCAGACGTGGTAAAACGAAATTGTTTTCAGCTTGAGACAATAATGTTACCTATGGTTCTTCCTAGATATTTATTTTGAATAGATCTTTTTTTTTTTGTTCAGCCTTATTAATAGCATGTAAATATGAGGAAATGACAATTCCTGGTATGAATGATTTTGTCTATGTATCCGATAATGCATATTCAAAAGAAGATATGAAAGAAATGGAACGTCATATAGTATCAACATTATCATTTGATCTTGGTCGACCATTGTCAATAAATTTTCTTCGTCGTTATTCAAAAATAGTTGAAGCAACTGATATCGAACATACATTAGGAAAATATCTTCTTGATTTAACTTTTATTGATCATTCATTATCACATTTATTACCATCATATATATCAGCATGTGCATCATTTCTCTCACGTTATTTATTTGCATATAAATGTTTAACGTCATCAACATCGGTGTCATCATTAATTGGAAATATTTGGCCAAGTAAATTTATGAACTATCATACTGGTTATACATATGAAGAACTTCGTCATGGTATTAAACAATTAGGTCAATTACTTATTGGGCAAGATACAACAAAATTACGAAGTGTACAAAAGAAATTCTCTCAAAGTAATATGTTTTCAGTTGCACAACATAGTTGTTGTAAAAGTGCTTATGTTCAAATGGCACTTGCTCGGCTATCAAAATAAATCTCTACTCTAGGAGATATGATTAAAAGCAACAACAAAAAATAATCTTTTTTTTATTTGTTAGATATATATATATATATAAATACCAATGAAATATTTCTTTTTTTCTCTCTCTGTTTTCTTTTTCAATGTCGGAT